TTAGGATAGAGTCACATGGCGCTCAAGTACGCCTTCGGTTTCCTCAGAAGTGTGAGTTTACGATCGTCTATTACAGTTTCGTGTCTTACAATGTATTCTAAAATTTACAAATGTATAAAACACAGGAAAAGCCCATTTTAACTTCGGAAAATTAATCACAATAACCTTCTTACTTTCGGATGTGAAATCAAGACAAAAACCGCCCAGTAAGTCAGATGCTGTTTGTGATTAACTTATTTCTATTTTTGGTTGGTGGTCAACTTTTCTCGACTGGGACAATTAGCCTTTAACAAAAATTGGTTGAGATTCATCCAAGGTACTCTTTAACCATTAAATATTTTTATACAAAGCAAAGGTAAATATTTTTAAAGTCGTATTTTAACGAAGCAACCCATCTATGCATCTTAAGAGTGCCATTAACTTCTTAGATGCTATCACACTTCTTAGATTGCTATTGGCTAGAATTATAGGAAAAAGGAAAGAAACATACACTGCAAGGAAATAAATGCTGCTTTGCAACGAATTTTGGAATATCATTTTTCTTGATCTTACAGAAACAAGTTTGTGATAAGCGAATCGACATTGTATGCTCTTTGGATGGATTTTTCGTTTGATGTTTTTTTCCTTGGTAAATATTGTGCTGATCCAATATGGAGGCAGGTGACGCTCGAGCCAGATCGATTCTAAAAGTCACGAAAGCAAACTTTCTTTCTTATTGATAGAAATTCAGCACCTTTCTTTTGTATGATTTATATCTAAGTAAATACTGAAATACTCTTTATAGGTTTTATTTTTCATTTCATATTCCTAATGGTCCTTATTATCAAAAATTGTCTGAGAACTGTATGTATAAAATTTACTCACCGTTTAACATTTACCTGTTTCTGTTCGTTTGAATCTCTGAATCTCTGATTCTAAAACAAATGAGATTCTTAGACTTGCAGAATTAAGTGATCTATTCTTGCAATGAAATTGGAAATTTTGAAATCAACCATCGTGCGGTCCAAACACCCCACACGTTGTAATACACGGTATCAGATTCAACGCTCTAATTTCCGAAAATAAAGTTGAAAATGACACGAAACGTCCTTTGGCGTAGGAATAATGATTCGAGAAAACAGACAAAAGCCGTCTCATCATTAAATTCTAAAAGTCGTCTTCTAATGGCCAATGGCCAATGGCATCTATCCGTATGGAAATTTCATATGGAGGTGGATGGACAAGTTGATTGATTGCGGAAATTCGTTTCTTAGCCTTATTTAAAATATAAATGCAAAAATGCTAATGAATCTTTAGTATTGGTCTTAAAATTACAGCAGAAAAATTACCTCAACTTGATAATTGATGTGGTACTTGTAATGGGATAATAACAAATAAAGGTTTATTCAAACATTGTTTTGTTTTCTTTTTCACCAATAAGTTCGGGAGCTGATTACTTAGGTTAGGCAATTTTTATTTGCATCTTTTAATTGATAACCAGGTTCACAAATACAATGCTTCAAAATCAATCTTTTGTAATACAGCGAAATTTCCATGGTGTTGCAAAGTTCAGTGCAACCACGAAATAGACCGAAATAGCCAGCGAAATAGGTGAAACGAAATTAATTCTAGCCCACAAGCGTAAACAGAGTAAACAAAGACAATGCAGTTGTTTTTCAAAGGGACTTAGACTTAACCAGATCTTATGCACGAGAAATGGGTGTTATTTTTCAAATGCGAAGAATTCTTAGTGTAAGGAGTAAACATTTATCACTCTACTGTTGGAAATTTTCAGCGAAAGTGAAGGTTAAATATTTGTCAGTGAATCATACGGAATATATTTCTGGTTCGTGTCAGTGTATTTATAATATATAAGATGGCTTTTTTAAGACATAACAAACGCTTGGACTCATCGAGTGATTGGTTTTTGGCGCGAAACTAACCAGTCGCTACAAAGGCATCAGGCGCCAACCACAGCGCGCATGACTGATACAGTTCACTCAACAAATGGATATATCAGCAGCACAAATAGAAATTGAAAAACCAATTTTTAATACGCAGTGGCTTGAATGATTTTTCTTAATGTATTAGACGAAGACTGAAAAACACGTAAGTTTTAAAGCATCAATATAATGAGTTAGTGATCATTACTAGTTTGCATGTCTGAAAGTTCACGATGCATGATACCACAAATTGCTTGATATTTACTTGACATCTCTATCAGAAACCAGCATCTACTTTGCATTTTCAGACACAATTAGCTGCTTGAACAGAGTTTTAAAGTTGGAGTTTAGCCAGACTATAGAATTATTTGATTCATAATTTTGGCAACCAGTAGGTGAGTAACTTGACAAGCTCTATAATTTTAAGGACCATTGTCATTAAATAAGAGAAAGTACATGCACCTGTTTTGAAAAGTACAGAAAATTCAGCGATCGACATCACACTCGATATCAATTGAATACACAGTAGAAAATTCATTAAAAATTTACACTTAAAGATGTAACTTGAAAAGACTGAAATATGGTTCCACCTTTGAAATCTTATTGCGAAGTGCAATTAAGGCAAACATGCAGGATTTAGAAGGAAGTTCCTCTTTAAAAAAATAAAAAGACTTAGGAAGTAATGTGAAATCAAAACAACTTAAGACAGGCATCAGAAAGAGATGATTATATTCCCTCGCAGATTATCATGGGCAGGTACTGTGGCGCCGAAATGTCGCATGCTGCGTGCCTACATTGTGAAACAAATGATGACACTCTTTATTAAAGTCAAGTCTCTTTCTTTTCTGTGTTTTTTTATGGATCTCGACTTCGTCTCGGTTCATAAATTTTGTATTTATGAGGTACTGATCTCTGATTATAACTGAACGATTTCGATGTCTTTCCAGAATTCTGACAATAAAAGAAGTTCTCAAAGATTTCAAAGCGTTTGAAAACGTCGTAAAGCAGCTCTGTTAACCACATCCTTAACTCGTGCCTCAATTTATTAAGACGATTTTTTTCACCTTTAACCAAAAATCTCCCACAGAGAAACCGGTCTGACTTGGTTAGCTGAGAAAGTCAATTAACACGAGTAACAGTTATTACCTCAAACAAAGCGAAAATGCACTGATAAAGAGCTTCAAGAGTCAACAAACTGAAAAGTCTCTCGATCGCAGCATGTGGATTGATCCATAAGAAACTGGGAACCTTAGGAAGAAAATTAAAATCTTGGTGTTTAACTCATAATTAGAAGTCTGGGGAAGTTGAAGCATTCGAATTCAAAGTGTCTAGCCGCCCGTTGAGATTAACTTTTGAAACTGAGTCACATCCGCTCACCATATGACGGTTGGGTTCTTTGCTTCTATCGAAGTAACTCGGTTTGAAAAGGCTCTTAATGAAGATGTCGTGACCAGCGTGTGGTTTCAAAGCATTTGGTCACCGTAGGAAGAGAGACACTTAATCAGTGATGATCTAACTTGCATCATAACCCCATTGAAAGTAAAATTGAAAGAAAACAGACAGATGTTCTGTACGATTATATGTATGACGATTTCCTGAAGATTTCCCACGCTCGCAGAAGTTAGCTCAAAGGAAAATTCCACGGTCCGTCCAAACATTTTCCCCTCCTTTGTCTAACTGACCGCATTGACTAATTGGTTGATATTCTGCAATCAGCATTTCCTCGTTATTTGATTGGATCATTTAAAGTTTGTGGCTGTGTTAAATTGTGAACAGCCTTATAGAAAAAAATTGGATACTGCAATGCCAACATTGTTTGCTGTTAACTGTAATTTCTTTACTTTCAATAGTAACTCAGCGAAGGAATTGAACCGTTAGTCGTAAAATGGCCACAATTTAAATTGTCAGCCGCAAAAGCCATCACCCATTGAGATCCTCTTATAATGCTGATGATTGTCCTCTGTATACAAAACGATTCAAATCAATGTGTCTCACTTCCCGCCTCATGCTCGCGCTAAATTTTACAGATTGATAATTCAAAGACCTTAGTAACTGAAGGAAGGAAACTGGTCGAAGTTATATCACTGATCTACGTGAGTTTGAAATTTCGTTGTCATTAAGAGTCAGTATTATCATAATTCTGATACGGAATAAATATGCGCCTCCCCTGTGACAAAGTAGTAAATCGAAGAGACCTTTAGTGAAACTGACAAACAACATGTAACCGATATCAATAATGGTAGAAGAAGCCTTTAATACCTGTGACTGTTATTCAGATGTAGCTTTTAAGGATGTCTTTTACCGATGTTTGTATTTTTCTATCGATATAGCCTCGATTGCCTGAGTAAGACATACTTTTTCTCCAAAAGGCTCCTATTTATGTACCTAAAAATTAGGTGTCTCACACTTCGTAAATATTGGTTGCCATGGTAATGGTTTGATTAGTCTACATGAAAGTAAACAGGCGACATATTTCTGAAGTACCAGTGGAGGTGTGGCTATGTTTGAGGAGCCTGGCACTAAAAGTTTGAATTTGTCCCCAAAAAAATAACGAACATTATTTTTGTCCCAGAATATGCGACATTGTGATATTCCTTTGCAAAATTCGCTTAAAACTAAATTCTTGATTTTAGTTATTGAGATTAACTGCACTTCAGAGCAACCACCAAAATTCAAGTGTACCTGTTTATTTTCAAAACAGCTTTTTTTTTTAACCCTCAACCGTCAGAGGTACCTTCCAGAGCCCTTCCTTCCCACTGAGTCGCCCATTAATTCCTTTGCTTAAGACTTGGCGGCAGTGCATGTCTAGACGCAAAAAAAGGATTAATCAGTTCTTTCTATATCATTCATTTTTTTTTTAATTCTTGCTCTCAGAATGACTGATATAAATTTTTTTGAATAACAAGTTCCCCAGGCCTGATCAATTCATATGCATCTGCTATCAGTTTTATGGGTCTGAAGTTTCAAAATGGAACAAAATTACACTTGTTGATCATAAGGGTCCTTCCATATTTACCAGTAACTAAGTCATTTATTTTCTAGAGACATATAAAGTTCCTTGTCCATAATATCAATTGCGCAACTCACTATTGGAAGCCGTGGTTGTGCCAAATTATTGGAAAACAGCTGGTAAACCCTATAATAAGCCAGCCAACTAAAACAACTTTGACTTAAGTCCCATCAGAACAATAAAACAAAAATATATTTTCTTTTTACAAGTTTGGAGGTAATCTAATCCCCTTAATGGTTGAAGGAGGCTTAGTAGAATTAGAGTTCATACGAAAATGATAACCAAAGAAAAGAGCTTGAACAAAGGACGCCAGTTCGTTTTATTTAAGGTCCACACAAGGTTATACACAAATAAAATGGGACACTTTTAATGCAAAAACCGAAACGTTGGTTTGAAAGGTTCACTTGGCTATCATCTCGTGGCTTACCTTAAAGCTAACTGTGCTTCTATTATTATTTTTCCATATGTGCAGTACCCCCGTGTGAACTAAAGATTTATGAACGAAACTAATTACCTTGCAAACACCTTTTTTTCATTGAAGAGGATCGTACGGGCCTTGAGAAAGTTTGAACTAGAATGCCTTATCGATTACTTTATTCTATTCAAAAACTAAACTCACGTACGTCATTTTTTCCTGGGTGTTTTAACGTTTTTTCCCTTTGTTCGAGTTTTTTGTCAAGCCAGAGAAATATTCAGTCTGAAAAGTATTTCATCTCTTACATGGTAATCACCAGTTTAATATCGGGTTCTTTCAAAAAACAATCGATATCAATTTCACGACATAAAGATGTACAAGTGTTACTTCATAGCTCAAAAATTCAAAGGAAGTAAAACGATGAATTGTCGATATTGAATTTGCACTAAGTAAGCGTGGGCTGTTTCTGAGCGGACAAAAAGAAAAACATTACTCAAATCCCAATTATTCCTCCCTCGAGACCACAGATTGTAATAAGGAGTTTGTAATAATAAGGGCTTTGCACATTTTCCTTTAATTCTTTTCAACACCTTTCACTTAAAATAGTTTACATTACTGAAGATGAAAAACAGTCGTCGTTATCGTAGAAAAACTTACATTTCTGAAGTCGTATGAAGACCATGCTTTGCTCTAGAGACAGCGTACCGCTAGCTAAAAAAAGACTACCTACCTAACACTCTTCGCCTCTTTCTGCTTTCCACGTTCCGGCTGATTGAAATCATGGTCGGTATTCAAATTAACCAAACTAAGAAGGCATTGTGAATTTTGTCAATATCGTCAAACATGCCTTGTTAAATATTAATTTCTGTCTACATAACAGGTGACTGAAACCTTGCAGGAGAACGCCTCCAGGAAGAAAATGGCGGGCATCTTGTCTTTCGCATGTATCATCACTTTGGCGATATACGCAGGTATTCATTTTTAGTCTCTTTCCATGAAACTTTGTCGCTCAAAGTCGCTTTATCTTGCCCAGTGTCTGTACACTCCGTGAATACTGGCCTAACCAGCGCCAGGGAATTGGGAACACAGTGTTTTGGCATTAGCAAGCAAGAATTATGAGCATGCGAACTACATATCGTCAATCACCGTTCTTGAGTCCAAACCCAAATCAAAACAACGTAAAGCCGTTCGTCAGAAAAGAATTGAGTCCAAAATGCCGCAATTGCACACTTTATCTTACCGTATACTAGCATTCAACTTTGGTCAAAAATGTAATATTAGTTTGTACTGCTTTCAAATCCGGTCTTTATCCTAAAGGATAAAGTGGGATGAACAATTATGCACGCTCGCTTGAGCAGCATGGATCTATAATTCCAACCTCGACAATATTTGGTCGAAAAATTTAGAATATTCATGCAGTACATTGGAAAGTGAACTCAATTTCGACTCAAATCTCCGTTATGCTTGATTTTCGCGACTTCGTTAGTGTATTTATTACGATGCACAAGCGCTAGTCAACACCAATGTCAGTCTTTAAGTCTTGGTGAATTAACCCAGTACTGCGGTTTTTTACGCGGAAAAAATATTTAAAGTTCTTTGTCAATAGGATTTGAAATTTATGTACTTTTTGAAGGATAAATTTTTATCATCTTAGCGGCATAATCTTGTGGTATACAACATTGCGGGGTTCCAAACCTGATTTACATGCCGAGTTTTGATAACAACAGATACCTCTAATTCCAGATGTTTCCCCGTTTCACAGATTCCGGTAAAGAAACAAATTAAAAGCCGTCTATCGTTAACTGCGTTCAGAGAGAGCGCCTAACTAACAAAAAAATTTCAAAATTCTTCCAGCTTTGGTTTCCTTCTAAATCATTTCAGTTCAATTTGTAGTGTTTGTTTACTTCGTCTCTCGCGGTTCATGGTTGTCTTTTGGCGTACTTCATGAACCATATGTCAATCATCTTATATCGAAGGAATAAATAACAGTATCGTCGGATCAATAAATAAAATTCCATGTCATTGGCTTAGAGCACTCTAGTGGCGTTTTGAATCCTTTCCCAAAAGCTAAGGAGTGCACTTCATCCGCTCGCGTATATTAAACTCGTAGACAACAGGTGTGATTTTTCCGATTCCCTGGTGCTTCGTTGCTTTCCGCACACTCTTTTTTCTGGGAAGGCACACTCAGGGCTGTTTTCACGGCACAAACATGACACTGGAAGCTGTTCGCATCTCGCATCTGTTCATTGCTATAATTTGGCTTGGTATACAAGGCTACGGCGATGGAATAAATACCGACCGCAAAAGTTTAGATGGTAATAACGCGACTACAACAAAGTCCAGTGAACTACAAAAGGATTTGGTGGCAAACACAACCAAGGAAGATGATTACAATGGCACATTGGGTACGACACTCTGGTTATTAGCATCTTTCATTTTTACTTTTGAATTAAGTACCATTTACCATTACCTGACTACTTAGCAGACTGAACACTCGGAACACTTTTGACAAAAATCTTTGGCCAGCTTAAATGAATTATACAATTTGAGACGAAAATCTAGAGTATATTTACCTTTTTCACTTTACTAAAGCACGCGCGTGTCGCAAAACACTTAATGAATGTTTCATAAACGTGTCAGCTTCTCATGAAAAAAAAAATGCATGAGTTATACACAAGACTTAAGACTGATAACATCAAGTTCGTACAAAACACAAAGTACATTTACCGTAATCTAAAAGCCGCATTACAGGTTGAAACTGAATTGCCTAAAAGGAAAAGGAATTATTTGCGGAATTCAATCTAAACTCTTATCTCGAACAACAACTTACAATAACGGAATCGCTTAAGCTGCTATTCAAAACAACAAAGCGTCGTTTAAACCTTTCGATTTTTGAAATTACTCAAATAATAGCCCGCAGAAGCTTTTTAGTAAATTGACGAAACAGAATTCAATTGATTTCCCGAGGCAATTAATAGTCCTCAGACTACTGAAAGGATACATAAATTATCCCGAGCCACAGAGAATAATGAAACATCTCTTTGCTATATCATTTATTTGCCCTTAAAGCTATGTTTTCGTTATTCATTCTTTGAGAACTCATAAAAAAAATCAAATTTTTACAATAACGCATTTTTCCCGTACCAGAAAGATATATCTTCTTCAGCGATTTTCCCTTTTAATTTTATTTGAAAATTTGAAAATGTTGTTTAGAATATGACCTCGAACTGGATCGATTGGGTTTTAAAAAGTAAAAGATGCAGTTTCTTTTCTTTCTCGGACAAATTACATTACAATTCACCAATTTCAGTAAAATGGCATTTTCCATGCTACTTCCTGTTATCGACTCTATGGAGAATACTCAGTGCAGAGGGTTCCTCAATATTTGCGGTTGCTGTATCAGTTGGTTGAAAGAAAACATTCATTTACTTGGATAAATATCACAAACTCGTTTGGATGGGATTTTCAATAATCCAGATTCACTCAGGAAGCCTGCGTAGTAGTATTCTCTGTTTCCTTTACACCTGAGTCGTGCTAAGGCAGAGGGCGGAGTGAAGAAAAAAAAATTACGTCGGGGTTAAGAATAGCAATAATATATCATTTACGAGACATCTTAAGCGTAGGCTTCGAAAAGGGGGTAGGTGATTGGTTCTTAATTTAAAAATGGTATGCTAATCTTACAATATCTGACACCGCGAAACCCCTTTTTAACTCGTAAAATGGCTGGAGGCCATTTAAAAATTGTTGTTATGACCCAAAATTCACTCCATCTATCCACTAATCCATTACTCCGTCATTCCTTCCTTCACTTCCTTTTAACTTTTTGGTAAGACCGCTGACTAGCGCATAAGACTTTTGTATGTTTAGTTCCTGCGTGAGACTCAACAGATCGCTAAGAATTGGTCAAAATTTTAATAGTCTGTATAGAAACAACGCATATTTAATTGACAGCCGAGATCTAAGATCTATTCGGTTATTTTACTGATGGATAACAAACAGGCTTAAATTAGACTGTGTGCATGAAGTACTTGGTTTTACAAAGAGCGACGATTATTTACAAAGTGCGACAAAAACTGGTGCTCATTTTGTAATGTAAAGATAGTATTGATTTCAAGTTAAGCCATCTAAGAATGCGTAGGCAATGCTTCACGATCTGCTTTTAGTGACTTTGGCGCCTTTCTTAGAAATTATGTTCATATATGTAAATTGGCTATGGTCAGCTGCTTGAAAAATTTCCAGCGAACTAGATATTATTTTCGGAATTCCCTCCATTAGAAATTTTTCTCAGGGAAACTTCGTTTGTTTTTCAATTTTAATTGGCATTGAATGCTGTAAGACTGTTAAAGTGAAATGGTTATATCGCATGTTTTTTTGCCCTACTATGTTTCGACTTAAATGTACTTCGGAAATGTCTTCTACGTGCGCTAATGTCTACCTCTAGGCCCCATGCTTCATGATAAGTGAGCGACAAAACATGTTTCTTGTGGGGCATATATGAGCCTGTGTTTTTTTAGCAAGTTGTGACTGTTCGAATCTGTTTAAATAAGTCGCTTTCTTAGAAAATGTTTACCAAATATTTGCGGTTTGGCGTTTATCGGTAGAGAAATCGCCTTAAATACATTGAAAACCCTTAGGGTCGAGGAGAAAAGAAATGCCTTCATCCATGTAAAATTGTGTAAAGTACAATGAAAGTCATATTGAGTTGCGAGAAACATGTCTACGTAAATCATGTAAACCGAGTAAAGACTCTAACATACCTTTTCTCCTATTAATTTCTGGGGTTCATACAAAAGCAGCCAAGAGTCATTTTTGAGTCATCGGTACAAATATATCCAGAAAGACAAGACACGGTCAAAATAGTGGACACCCTTAAGCTCTCAGTAAATAATACTTTCCGAAAAAGTCTATAAAACGCATCTTAAGTGCCTAGCCAACTTCCCCATCATATATTTTATATCCTGTTTTTGACAAAAAAAATTATATCTTTTCGACAAATATCATGGTGACAAAGAGTTTTCACCAGCCCTAATTGCAGCAGGTAACTATTGATTGGATGGTGTTAAATTTTCACGGGCGGCAAAATGATGTAATTGCCTGCCACCTTGTTAGGATTAGAATACAAACGCTTGAACCATGTTTTCGCACATCAAAGTCGCAAGAATGAGAGACGCGAAGAACAAAGAAGTCATATTACTGATTCTCTACTTAAGCCGTCATTAATCGCGGATTGTCATTGGTTTATTCTTATCCTTATACTAATGATTCTCATAATCTTTTTTCCACAAGACCATAAACGACGAGGTCGTAAGTGGAGTAGTAAAGGGATTTTATTTGAGAGAGAGCATCTTTCCTTGCTTGTGATTAACCTGAATTCAACTGCAATACAATTACTAATGATTACCATGTCTGACACACTCAAAAGAAGCGGTGTTAGAATCAGTAATGTTAATCATGCACCATACCTTTCAGGCAGTTTTTTTCTTCTCCTCTTGCGGTCCAACATACTCATTTAGATCAATCTGTCCTGGTGTTGAACCCCAATAGCTCTGAAAGAAAGATGATACACGTATCATAGAACGCGAGAAAACCACCGTACGGCTGTAACAACACGTTTCTTTGTTAGGATGAGGGAATACGTTATATTTAGAAAAGAGATCGAAATTAGCGTTAACTGGTTCGTTTGAAGCCACAAAGGTATCAACACTTCATAAATTCTTTACGAGAATCTCTGGCACCGCTGAGAGTTGCGTAAGGAAGAACAGCAGTGTCCAAGAAATATAAAAACATAGATCATTGTTTCCCGGGCAGACTTTCCTAAGAGATCTCTTGAACGACGCGTCCATGGCGTCATTATTTTATTATTCGTGCGATCACTTCTATAGGATGTTTATACCATGACGTCACTCGTGTAGCTTTTCCATTTATTTGCACCAATATTCTGAGTCTAATTAAGGTTGATCTGGCGTGGGAAAATTAATTATCAGTCAGTCTAAATTTCAAATGGATTTTCGACTCGAGGAAAACAATTTTACTGGTCTTAGGATTTAAGTTTAAACTTTTTGGAGACGTAATACATTGGCCTTTGAGTGTAATTTGCCGCATTTCTTCGTCCCAGTCGAGATGTATAGCGGTCACTTGACGATTCTCCTCGGCTTTCTTTTAATTACCTCCACAACAATTGTAGGTAGGTTAGGGTATTCAACTATTTCATAAGCCTACAACGTATTACATTCTTCTTTGTTCTGGCGAAAGTAGTGACTCATTTAAAACATAACCGATATTCATCAGTGCTCCGAGAGCAAATGTGTGCTGTTATTAAAGTAACATTATAATTTTAACCACAAGATCAGTATTCACAAAATATTCGCTAAATTTATTCAAGAAATACTCTTTTTTTCATTTAACCATTACCTCCTGCTGTTTTCATGTAGTGAAACTGAGTTACAAATTCTAATTCTACACTGTAGTTGAAAGTAAGTTCCCGGTTTAAAATGAAAAACCAACAATTTGTGAAGGTCTTAATTTTCACCTGAAATAAGAAAGGCTGTAACTTCCCTCTTAATATCTGTTTGTTTGTTCGAGTTTCTCAGCCATCCAGCTACGATGCTTTCGACAGTCCTTTCTAGAACATTCGATTTACTTAATCCAGAGAGTATAAAAATTGGTCTTCGCGTTGTTTTCGTTCAGGGTGGTTACCTACGCAACTTTCAGTGGCATGAGGCCGCATTTTAATTGATAACTTTTTTATGCTAAGTAATTTTTTCCCCGCAACTAATTGAAGACTGAAAATTTCTTTAAAAAATCCGCTGGATTATCTTTCCAATTTAACTAGAAGCTTTCCAACACGTTTATGTTCAAGTTAAAACATAGCGATTTATTCTACCATGAAACGGGCCTTAAATACTGGCAGAACTAAATCATCAACGTCTTATCAAGAAACCAGGCAACAGCCTCTTTTTTTTTTTCAATAATTTCACTCCATTTCAATCGATTAGAGTGAAAATGCAAATGAAAAAGGAATGCATTTTCATTTTAAGATTAAACGCTATCTAGATTTTTAGAGTGGGAGACTGGATTAAATAAAGTAAAATAAGCCCAAAGGACTTTGAAATAAGCAAGCCAGCACTTGATACACTCCTACACAACTTTTGTACACATGTTCCTTTTGAGAAGAGTTCATTGAGAGATGCATAAAGCTGATAGTCTAGCTACATGCTTACTCCTATTGAAAAAAACAAAAAAAAAATTTATATATATGTATATATATATATGCAACATTTTAGGGGTTCTCGATGATCAGAAAAGAAAGCAATGTTGGTCAGTGCTCTCGACAAGAGTTCAAGCGTGACACGAGTTGACGTGACGTGACATGATAATGACATGATTTGAAAATGACGTAACGCAACTCGCACTAACCAATAACTTTTAACTTATTTTCGGTATAGATGCAATCAAGAAAAGTGACGACGACGAACTTAGGCTGGTCAAAGAACTTTTTGAGAATTACAGCCAGGAAGTCAGACCAGTAAAAAACAAGAACGCTGCTATCAAAGTTATCTTTGGTATTGCCTACACTCAGCTCGTCGAACTGGTAAGTAATGTTAAGTGGTTTACCTTATCTCCTCAATAAGCGCCAACGCTCTAACAAACGCCCTACCACGCACTAATAAGCGCCTACTCCCTTGGCCAAATTGTCAAACAGGCGCCTCTCTCGAATAAGTGCCTAGCCTCCTTCCTCGCTTTCTTAAAAGACCATGCTCAACCAGTATGCTTTGTGCGCCGATGTTGTTATTATTCGGGGAACGCTGTACTGTTTTTAACAAACCAACGGAACTGCCATAGCTTTTGCCAAAAAGAGGTGTTATCAACTAGAGCACAACTAAACCGCTAGTTTGGAAGAGGTATTTTGACGACGTTTTCTGTCTGTAGAGCACAACCAAATACATCATGGAAGAACTTGTAAGGTGAGCGCAAACAGCCACTACGATACAATCAAATACACGGCTGAAATATCCGACTCAGAAATTATATTCTTGGACACAAAAAAGTACAAAGGCGAGAGATTTGACAGGGAATCGACCCTTGACATGCTAACGCATTACAAAAAGATCTTCCAATACATTAATTCTTATTTCTCCTCTACCAGGTGTACAAATTCGACAAGCTCTATGCTTGACAAAAACTTATTTTCAAACTACGCTAAAAGAATGAAGGACTGAGAGAAATATATCTCTGAATTTAATTTACTCGAGAGAGAAAGGTCACTCAAAGGCTTATCTTGCGATACCAAATGTCGAAGGTAACGAGCTATCGGGCGCACCACGCTCGGCGGAAAGCACCACTGAAGACTCTCGAACTGTCTTTTCTTCTTTATTTAATTACTCAGTTCTCTACGCATATCCAAGTTTACTTCATTCTGTGCAAAAGATACCTGTTTCTATTGCCGCTTTATTTATAACTCTCAAGATTCTCCTACTGCAGAATTAGTACAGGAGGATAATAAGTGCCCTCCTTCCAAGTGTCCTCCTTCTTTAATGAACGCTCGGACGCTTATTCGAGGAAAAACGGTGCGCGTTTGCGAGTTTCAAAAGCAACCGTTTAACGACAGAATCTCACTTTAAAATTTGCGCGAAAAAGTGATATCGCACAAATTTCGACGCGATTATCGGTTTTTAAGTGAAATTTAACGCGGTATCCATGGTTCAGGTATTGAATTTTCTCAGAGTTGCGCAACTATCTGCAAATACAAAATCGCCTCACACGCGCTTTACAAACCATTTAAACTGAATCGACTGTATAAAACGGTAATAACACAAACGTGAGAGGAAACCGAGATGAAATTCACGCAGATTTCGATTGAAACAGTTTTTCCTTTACATCTCTTTTATACAAGCTTGCGGAATTTAACGGATGGAGTAGTATTCAAACAAAAAACTTCTCAAAGCCATGGGCACTCTCTCCAGAACCTCGTAAACCCCTAACCCTAACACTAAGCCAATAAGCTGTAAGTACACCATGGCAACCTTTTTCTGTATCCCACATACTTGCACCCAACTTAGAATTTTTAAGGAAAGGGAAATTTACTGCGACAGACCGGTATGTTGCCATAAGCTACTATGGAGGGTTATACATATATGCCTCTTAGGTAGTTATTACATTTCACCTGGTAGAACTTTGTGCTAATATTTTCTTTTGACTTTGTTTAATCCCAGGATGAAAAGAATCAAGTCCTAGTGAGTAACGTTTGGATAAGACAAGTGAGTAATTTAATTCTAACGCTCTCTTCTTATTTAAACAAGGTTAATTCAATAAAATATTGAGTACCTTAACATTGTTCGCTCTGTGGAAGAGAAATTGAGCGCGGTACTTGCTTAAATACTCATTTTTAAAAGAGGCGTCTTGAAGAAAACGAAAAGTTGAGCAATGACCCTAATTTAAAATCCTTCCAGCTCTAGCTTCCATCCAGCAAATCTCTTTTGATAAAAAAAAATACATCTAACGCTGACTAGTTACTTAAAAAATTTCTGACATTGCTCTTCTAAGGAAAAGTTTACTCGTTTTAATTCAGTATTTCTACTTTTTATGACCAACATTTCGTAGAAATGGAACAATCACTTGTTGCGCTGGAATGCCTCTCATTATGGTGGTATTAAGTCCATCAACGTAGATCCCAAAATGGTGTGGCTTCCAGATATTGTGCTCTATAACAAGTAAGTAGAATTCTGCTTAACCACACCATTATCATGTAATTTACACCTTGGTGAAATGTTTATCAGTTAAACAGGTTTTTGAAAGTTCTGCGCCCCAGGTAGACGACAGATGTTTGGCGACCAAAAACATTTTTGGTTATCAAAAATATCTGGACACCAAATATACCATAATGCTTGAATTGAGTACGCACCCAAAACACAAGATTACACACGAAGGTGAAAAAACTTGTCTGTAATTCAATGCCTTCCAGTTCTTTCTCCGTCTTGTATTTCTCTTAGCCCTGAGGCTAAAAGGGAAAAATAGCAATAGCAGCAAAAGTAGTTCGTTTTTGAAATTTCTAATTTTTTTCATACGTATTCTCCAGTGCAAATACAGGAATAACAAGCGGCAATATGGACCAGTTTAAAACGAAAGTGATTCTGTCCAGCGATGGTACTAACACCTGGTAAGTTGACAATAAGACTATGGGAATATGAGTATGGTAAATCTGAGACCACGTCTACGCTTGCGTTTTCGTTTGAAAACGAATACTTTCCGACCCGTTTTGGCCTTCCATCCCATACTAAAACGCTCGAAAACAAAACGAATCGATTCAAAAACACTCTCAAAAGTGGAGGCATCTGAAAACGCAGGCATATCGTTTTACTGTGGACGGTCGAAAATGGAGCCTTTTGAAGACGCACTAGTGTAGACGGATCTGAGAATTCATCTGATTGTAAAGAGATGCTTAGGGTTATTTCATTCCAAACGATTTCATCGTTTGGACGTACGGTTTAAAAACAGGGAAAATCGTTTGAGGAATATTTCCGGTTATTCTTCAACTCAAGTAGGGGCATACTAGGCCACGTGGTTTTTTTTTTTTTTTTTTTTTTTGCTAGTTGGGAACGAGATAAAATTTTCAATAGATATGTAGGGACACTAATCCACGAAGGATAGCAGACTGTATTTAAAACAGACTCTTAGTTCAGCAATCGCTCATTAATCCTCCTCCACTCTAAATTACATATACCGCCAAGTAGGACTGGTTACTCTGGTTTCATCGCCCATTTCATGTAGTTTTTAGGCATTACCAAAGGAACAGTATCTGCGAGACAATGCAGAAGTCTTGTTACACATGAACCTTATGGACTATGTGGCCTGACTCAACAACGAGTTAACTGCAGCCCAGTAGTTGGAGAGTCCATCCGGGACATCAGCATATTTGAGATTAGAAACTTTACGAGAAGTCACCGAATTTCTCTCTGCCTCCGTCCCTGAAAATTTTTGTAACCACTCATGAATAGCGAAAAAAATAAGGCATAGAATAAAGAGGGTTAAAAAAAGTGACACCACATGTATGCTTTACGATTTCATAAGGTATGCTCCAACAATCTTAAGGAGTCGTTGTGCCATTGACATCAAATTCTTTCCATTTGACGACCAAAAATGTGATCTCCACTTCGGTTCATGGACGTATGACGGACTCCGTGTTGATCTATTGAACGCGAGCAATTCTGTTGATCTCGTCTCTTACATGCCGAGTGGCGAGTTTGAAATGGTAGAAGCTCCCGTCAAGAGGACTATCGTCAAGTACAGGTAAGGTTGGCAAGTTTGTATTATGTGCAGAATAGAGAGATAAGAATGAAACGCTGGCCAATTATTCATAGAAACGTTAAAAGTAGCTGGTAAGTTATCCCAAACAGTCGTCACCAATAATACTCACCCCGAGTCTCCCTTGATCTAGGTTTGGTATACAGGAGCCCGGCCGGGGATTTTCCATATACCCAAGGATGATATCCCCTGTAGTTCAATGGGTATTTGAATGATTTACTCAAGTCCACCTTTCTTATATTTTCATGCACTTAGCTGTTGCCCAGAGCCATATCCAAATGTGATATTCACACTACACATCCGAAGAAAGGTTCTTTTTTACTTTAACAATCTCATCGTTCCCTGTTTCCTCATAACCGCCTTTGCTCTCCTGACCTTCGTTTTACCACCCAACACCGGAGAGAGAGTTACACTCGTGATCACCACATTGCTAGCGATGACTGTCTTTATGCTGATGATTGCCGAGAACACCCCGACCACTTCAGACGTCACGCCTTTGATCGGCAAATTCTTCGTCGCCTCCATGGTGGAGATAGGACTAGCTCTGATTGCTACGTGTTTCGTTCTAAACATCTACGAAGCAACCGGACCGAGCTCTGAAGTGCCTCGCTGGGTGCGTGTCCTTCTAATCGATATCCTGGCACCCATTCTCCGAGTTACTCGACCCAAGGAGAAACCTCAGCGCAAATTTCATGGCCCGAGCAATCAGAATATTCACTCGTATAGCCCGATCATGCCCGAACACAATGGAAACAATATAGAAATGGATGGAAGTCCAAGGGATGTACTCGTCATCGCACCAAAGGTCGGCGAGAAGATCCTGACCTCACGAGACTTCATCAATTCTGTAAACGACAATAGTATCAGACACAGAGTGCCTTCCTCGCAGGAAAAGCTCCTGGAAGGCATCAACGTGCTCACCGAACGAGCCAAAGAACAGGAAAAAGAGGAAGAGATTAAAGAAGAATGGGAATCAGTGGCCAAAGTTATAGACCGCTTCTTTTTATTACTTTTTATTGCAACAGTGGCCATATCGACAGCGCTTATCTTTTTACAGCGGCCAAGTTACGCCACGATGTAAGTGAACGGGGCCCAAAGGTGTTTGAAAAGCTTTAAGTACCGCCCAGTTTTCCCCCCAGGCTGAGGAGGATTGGCTGCATGTCTTGAGCAGCCACATCGTAAGTGGCCTGTTTTCGAGGAAACCATACCATATTAATGGGACACTGCTCGATAAGGTTTATTGTTTCGAGTAAAGAATTTAAATCCTTAAAAAATTAAGGAAAGGCTGGAAGATACAGTTTTTGAAATAAATGTTTAAATAGACTTTGACGAACCATTTAGAATAAAGGAGATTTCTACGAAATAATCTAAAAGAGACTTCGAGGTTGTGGTTAGACGGCCGCGAAAGTGAGTTACTTTTGAATGGAACGCTTTGATAGACATTCCATTTTTTAGATGGTTCCCCGTGTAACTGAGAGAGGATATAATTATTTTAATCGTGAGCTGTTATTCAATTTTGTTTTCTTCTTTCTTTTTGCTAATTTCATGATATTGTTTTGCAGTTTACAACAAGTTATTTAGTAGTGCAAATTAAATCTTGTCGCAGCGCGCGAAAGGAGAAGGTTTAATATAACAACACAGTTTTTTAAACATACGAAAACATATGAGGCTTTTAATCTATTTTAATTGAATCAAAATGTAACTGACGATTTTCCTACCAAAATGCTGAACTTTAAGACTGTCTACAGTTTGTTTAAAATCTTTTGCCTTCCGCTAGCTTTTTGTATGTAGATTTTTAGATTTTCAATGTCATATAGTTGTTTTTCTTGCAGTTTTTCGATCCTCGTGTATCCAGAGCGGTTGTTTTCCTTTAAATGTAATTCATTGTATAAATAGAATTTTCAATAATTCAGACGGAAATTAATTTGATAGGTAAAAATAATAAGTCTCGGTCACAGCTCTATAAATCTGTCATAAATACAAAAAGGATTTGAACCCCCTAAAAAAATCAACTACAAAGATCACAGCAATGTGCACGTAAAATCGTTTTGCCTTACAGGAAATTAAAATTTTTACATCAGTGGACGCCACGCTCTACGATTGGACGAAAATCTTCCTTTTACCACATTTAGGATGCTGTGAGAACATCCGAAACGTTAATTAGCCGTGAGAGGGAGGGAAATGATCTATTAACTTTTGTCCTGTTAAACTTTCCTTGCAACATCTCGAATGGCTTCTTACGCCGTTTCACCGATAGAAAATAAGGTCTGCTACATAAGACAAATTTTAATCATGCGCGTGTCGTAGGTCAGTTATCAAGCTTGAGCTCAAGTGGCCAAGTTCAATTCAGTTTATAGAATGGCAAAATTGCTTATAAACGTATTTCCCTAAAGGAAGGCGGCTGGTCCGTTTTCGAGTGAGTACTGAGCTGTTGCTACTCAGGGCTAACGAGCGGGAAAGGAGATCTCTTTGTGTAGCATTATTGATTTAAACTTACTCGGATATAGATCAGAGTTTGAAAAGCTATGCATGCGATAACAAGTCCTCTTTCGGTTCTACACGACATTCTCTTAAGAAACTATCACTTTTTTTAATTGCTTCAGTTGTTTTTTTTCCACATTTTTGAATCTTGATTTCGGCTCTGCAATGTTTTAAATTTAATTGTTTATAGTGGTTTACTTTAATGACTGATTCTTAAATTTAGTAAAATTATTGAGTCTTTTGGTAAGCAAAAAGGAAACTACACGTATCTTTACATCGAGTAGATCAAAAACTCACACCAGTTATAGAAAGTTTAGCAAGGTAGTCGGCTAACAGGTGAAAACTGTTGGACATGACTTTTTACCAATATTCATTTTACAGTGCATTTACTGAAACTGGAGCCACCTAGGCAATGAAAAAAAAAAGGGAATGTAGAACTGAAATAAAAAGTTCCAATATTTTCGGATGCAGCCAATCAAATATAAAGAACTAAACAGTGAAATTGCAATTTGATTGTTCCCCGGTAATGGTCACTCTACTTCAATGAAGGTTAAATGTCTAACTCTGACCGTTGTTTCTGAGATACTTCCGCATGCTTGGGGCTTTAAGAGTACGAATTGGAAGGATTGAATGCTGCCCTAAGTTACTTCTTGCTTGTTAGTTGATTTCTAGAGTAAATTAGCCAAAATTAGGGTAGAAGAGTGCTTTAATGCGTAAAGTCAGCAAAGTACATGAACGCTTTGACTCTGTAGGATGTTTTGTTTGGATGGGCCCGGTTTCATGAAAGGCACGATGAGCAATTTTTACTGCTTCCTCAAGAAAAGTTATATTCTAGTATTTAGGGAGAACGGTAAACTTACACACTGTTAGGACTATTTAATTTAAAGTAATTCTTGTAGTGATAGTCACATTATTTGTTTGCTGTTAGACTTCATTTCTTTCCCAAACAGTCATAGGGTTTAGGGTTAGGGTTTAGACATGTGCGTGGTATGAAGTAGCTTAGAGGAGCTTGGTCAAAAAGATTCAATGAAACATTTCCTATTTTAGGGGTTACAGTTTGCTTTCCAATGTTCTTTCTCCCTTGGGTAACAGTATCTCAATGAAAAATTTCTCCTTCTCTCTACACGAGATAACAGTTAGCTTCGTTTGCAATCCTTCCCTTTACCTAGATAAAAGTTTCCTCCCAAATTCCTGAGTTCTAACACTTTTCTCTCTCTGGAGAAAAGTTTTTTCAATATTTTCATTCTCTTTGAGTCCCTTACCAATCAATCGTTCTCCCTCCTACAAAGATAAAAGCGGTTAAATTCTTCATTTTCTCCGTAGTGCCGGTTTCCTCAGGCAATCCTTCCTTGTGACGGTCATTTTTACCGGATATCTCCCGTTTCGGTTCATTTTTTATTTTCTAGGATGCTACATCCTTTCTCACTAAACGCAAAAAATAGATACTGTAATGTGTTACGAAAACAATTAACTCCTTAACTCTCTAGAGATACTTCATGCCATCACAAGCATTGCCTATCTAGTAACAAAGTTTTTGGGTAATTCGTTAGAGTATACGCTGCAGAGCACTTACAGCTGTTCGAACAACCTGCCTAATTAAACTCATGTGACCAAGTTTTCCAAGTGTTTTTGTTTTCTTCTTCCTTTAATCGAAAAGCTTAGCGAGAGCATAGCTTACGAATTGAACTGAAACAAAAGCAAATACAGACTGAGAAAAGACTTATAATCATACGTTCACGGAGATTGTAATACATTGTTACAATAACGAATTATGCGTAAAGATGACACTTGAGAATTGGAAGCACCTGCGATGTTTACCCAGTTCACACTAAAGAAAGGAAAAATGGCTGAAACGTGACAATTCTCACCTTTTTGTCACCTGCTTTCATTTCTTCTGGACTCGTCTGTTTTCTTTTTTTTTCTTCCAAATTTTAATTTATAGTAAGACTTGTGATAATACAGTTAATGGTTTGAACGGGTAGCAGGGTATGGGGCTAGGGGGTTGTGCGCATCGGATTGCGTGGTAAGACCAGATGAGTGAGACAGTCCTGAAGATTTAGGAACTGCTGTGGATGACAAGAACTGGCGTTTGCATAACTTGAGCGGAAGTCATTAATGAACGACGAAAGAACCCGCACCAAGCAAAAGAGAACTCAAGTAGACATCTTAAAGCAATGGCAGCGATTTGGGACAATTTTACAGGATATGCTGAACATAAACAAGAAAGCTTATACGCAAAATACAAAGACTTGAGGAGTAAGACTTTATTACCGATATGATTAAAAATAAAATTCACTGAGGAGTCCGTCGCCTCTCGCCCTACTATTCTCCAGTTTTTCCCTCGTTACCAGGGCCTCTCCAGTAGGATTAGCACAATTCATTCGGTGCCTGAAAACAACAAATCACCCGCATTCACTCTTTGGCTAGGGTACTCCCGTTATTTGGATGAAAAACGGAAAAAAAAGTCTTAATTTATTATGCTTTGGTAGAGAAATAACAACGACCAAACAACGAACAAAGATTTGGTGATTAATAATGTATATTGAAAAATTACGCGCTTCTAGTGGCTGAAATCGAGTGCATTCTCATGTAACACGAATGTCAAGTTGTAACACAAGTGCAAATTACAAAGAGCGCGCGCACACTTTCAAAATTTCATCTGTCTTGACTCCCTGTGATCTTCTTTCGTGCACATTATTAACAAGTAATGACATGATTTCTTTTGCAATTTGGTGTAATTTTCAAAGATTGAAAATTGCAGTTGCCCGCCCCACGGGCTCGTGCAATTCTGTTGTCTTTGAAAAATTTCCTCGTGCTTACTAACACCAAATTGTACTCGAAATCATGTTATTACCTATACTAGGCAGGCGAGGCGACTCACTAACTAACCTGAACATTTTCAGAAAACTTACAAAGAGAGAAATGAATCCCTTTTAAGAACAGTTATCATTGATCCTTGCGACAAAGCTAAGTTCAGCTTTCACTTTAATGGTTTAGCATTGCAGGAAATGTTCTCAAAAGTGTATTAAAACGTAGTTGCTGTTCTTACCAATGAAAATGCTGCTCACATGCGAGAGTATTAGGGAGCGCTTTTAGTCCAGTCCTAGACCTATGAAACAAGGGACATGCCTCTTAATATTAATAATATTAGTCTTTGTCGTTGTTTCTGCTGTCGCATGATTGTTTGTCTTTGTATTCTTTGTATTCGCTCTTTTCTCCTCTGTCTCTCAGGGCCGGTCACCATTTCTTGCATGAAGGGCGAGGGAGGGAGGGAGGGAGGGAGGGAGGGGAAAGAAGGGTTCGGATGATTTTGGTCTTGTCACGATCAAAGTCATCTAATCCCCCTTTAAGCCTCTTGTTATATTCTTATGATTCCTTCCTCATTGGCAGTTGATTGGCATTCAATTTTCTGTAATTCCGCTCTCTATACTCTGTTGGCAACGATTGATACCCCTCCACACCCCCTGAAAACCATGTGATCCACC